TCAAAGGACTTTGAATGCATGTTAATCCCAATTGAGCTAAATAAAAAACAAGTTTATAAGAACAGTTATTATTGTTAAAAATTAAATAAACTTACTTCATTTTCATTCAATATCTGTCTGAAAGTCGTTGCTCTTGACAATAACGTAATTATAATTTTCTTTCCCTAATTTAAAATATATTTCTTTAAGTTATTTTATTTATTTATAATTTTTTAAATGAAAGTGTTAATATACTCACAGAATATTCATCTTGCTTAATATTTAATTTATGTAAAACATGTTTAGAAAAAGCATGGAATAAACCACTTTTGTAACAGCCTGGTATCTATAAAATTCATTATATTTTCTAATTAACTCAAAGAATATGTAGAAAGTAAAAGTTATTAATAATAAATATTTTATTTTAATTTATATGTAATGAGTTTAGTATACTGAAGTTACATATATCATCTATTTTACTTTTATACATAAATTTTTAGAATATAAAAAATTGATTATATTAAAAATATATTCATACCAAAGGCATGTTATAATACATTCCAAAGATCATTCGAGGTAATAATGGGAATACAACATCTTTGAAACACACCTAAATTATTAAAATAAAAATTAAATATTTCTTTTGTTCTTTAATATATTTATAATGTAATTCAATACTTTAAAAATGTAACATTATAAAAAAACTTTTAAAAATTAAAATTTAATTATTTTTAGCATATATATATACACACACACACATGCTTATAATTACTGATATTGTTATCAATGTATTGTAAACAGTGTAATTCTTGACATTACTGTTTAGCTACTTCCCATTTCTATGGAAAATATATGACACAAGGGACAACTCTTAAAGAATTGCTTCCTAGAGTCATGTCTTTTTCCTTAGATAAGAGAAAAAGAATAAACAATAGTGTTGAGAATTACACAGTCTACAATTCAAGATCATTCATTACCCATGACTTTTTGTGAATATTGTAATCAATTATTTAAGTATCAGTTATTATAATAATCAATTAATTATCTAAATTAGCACATTGCAAAACATATAAGTCAAAATACTACTAAAAAGTTTCATTTACAAAAATCAGAATTTTAGTTATAGTTAACATTTTCTTTAGGTAAATAGGCAATTTTAATTATTTTTTCACTCTATCAATAATAAGCAAGTATTATCAATCTTAACAAATGATTTAAAAGTTAAATATTTATTGTTTTAAATATTATTTGTTTGCAGTACAGTAATTTAAATTGCTGGCAGCTTTTACTTCAATTATATGTTTTATTATTAATTATTAAGATTAATAATAATCATTAATAAATCTTTAACACACATTTTTTATACTTGTTTTATAATTGTCCTTTTAATGTCAGAGTGAACAAAACCAGAATTTCCACTAAATGTAGCGTCATTTACTTACCCTCACTTAATGCAATCTGTAAGGGTGAGTCCCAAAGTGATTACAATAAGTGCTTTCTATTGTATACTGTATATATATACAAGAAATAAGCATTAAGCAGTGCATATTTTCAAAGGACATGCTTCCATTCAACTTCCAGGTATCTGCAGATGAAATACCATATTTCTTTGTATTTAATAAAGCGTGTAAAGGTCAAAGGAATGCATCATCATAAATAAAAAGAGATAAAACAATTGCTTTAATAATGTTTAAAACAAAACAAAAATTTATATCTGAAAATGGGCGACTAACTCATTTTCAGATATCAATAATCTAAAAGATTAGAACATTGAATAGTGTACTATGATCTAATCCATTATGTTTGAAAGTACTTCTAAATGTTTTTGTTATGTTTTAAACTCCATTAAAGCAATTATTTCAACTCATAAAGATCAGCATATTGACAAGTGATTACAAAAATTTTAGACATTTTATATATGTATATACAGGGTCACACTGTCTGTTGCAAAATTTGCAATTTACAAAAATTATATTTCATCCAGCCAGATGAAAAAGCCCTGAAAAGAGTCCCTCAATGAAAAAGAGTATCACAGAACATGAAACAGTCTTAATCTGATACAATTTTACTGTTAATAAACAAAAATAAAGTTGCCTGAGAAACTTAGTCATAAAAACCTCTGCACTTTTTTATATTGTCAGTCAGCCTTCCATTTCAGGTTGGCACAAGAAGTTGCAGTAAGCAAAAAAGTAATCTGTTTAATAACTTTCTATTTTGGCAACTGTTATAAAAAAGCCAGGGTAACCCTGATATATAATGTGTTCCAATTTACCATCTTCCACAGCTGGATGGTTGAGGCAGTTAAGACATCTGTGTACCACTGTAAGGACCTGGGATCAAACCCAGATGAATAACACTCCAGAAAATTTTTATTGAATGTCAGTAGGGCAGTTTTTCACGACTCTTCCATTGCCTATTGTAAACATGGTCAAAATCCACAATGGATAAAGGAAAAAGGCCCATTTAGTATCCTCAGGGAAAAAAGAGTTTAAAAAAAAAAACCTTTATCATCATCAAAACTGATGCCCAGGTGATTAAAGTATTCCTTCCTCTTTAGGAAATCCATTTTCAATTCTGATTTGGATCCTTAGAAATTTTTCAGATGTTATCCCAGAATTTCAGACCCTGTTCCTCATTATTATAATCTGAACCAGTATAGTTGCAGTACTTATAATGCACGCTAACTACAGAATAATTGTTTCTAATTACCATAAAGCAATGTGTGTTAGAAAAGTGATGTAATCAGATATTATCATTGTTATTTTCACCAATATGACTAAAATTAAAAATTCTTCTTAGAATTTTAAAATTAACCTGTATAAATTTATTACTTAATTAAATATATACTGTAAATATAATGTAATTTGGACTAAAGGAATGCAAGTGAGTCACCATCTTGTATTAAATTTAAATTAAATTTCTACATTTAATTAGCCAAGTTATGATACAATGAATTCAGTGTTATCATTTGAATAACTTATAATTTGAGTCTACTTTATTGTATAAATTTATACGACTTGTATCAGTACATTTCAAATAGGAAAAACAGTATACTTTTTTCTATATTTGTTCTAAAGTCACTCACTATAGTTACATCATATCCTCTCATAAGTTATTCAAAATGGCCAGCCCTGATTTCGGCCCTTTACCATCATTTTTCAAATGGCATCACAGCTTACATCATGTCCTTCCACTAAGGGCACTGTGATGGGTTGGCAAAAATAGTTAGCTCACTATTAATGTTGTGCCGATAACTGATACATCAAACCAAAACTGATAACTGTTTACAATATCAATACGTTAGATTTTAGAATTTAATCAATTTACCAAAACCATTAAAATACTGACTTTCACAAACAATGTCAAACACTGGTATTTATTGTCAATGATAAATAGTAACTGTCTTTTACCAAAACAATTTCTCCAACTGTCAGACTGTACTAGTGTTAAGTTCAGAGGAAGTTGTTGCAGTTTAACATTGATGATTTATCAGTCCAGCAGTATTTAAACAAAATAATTTATTTCTTAGTCTTACTTTCTAATTCCCATTTTGACTTAAGAATATGATTGCTGAAATATACACAATTAATTAAAGCTATGGAAAAATAATACAGTCTACAAGTTGTGACTTTAGACATGGCTGACTAATTTTTTAACTTTAAATCTCTTTTCACCAAAATAATAAAAATATTGTCAATTATTACATCATAAAATTAATATTCTAAGCTGCAAACCTATAAAAGTAATTGTAATACCACTCACTCTCTTTCCTTTAAACTGTTCAAGATTAAGTAATGGATGCTTAGTAAATGCTTTCCAAGTAATCTCAAAATTGCTTCTGTATGGTATCTGGAAATATTCATATCTATTAATTTGTTTAGCTTTAAAGTCAACCCATATGGGTTGCCTGTAATATTGTTAAATGCCTGTAATATTCTGTTTACAACCAGCTTTGACACCATCCTAATTACAATCAAAGCTGAATGTAAACAATATTACAGGCTAATTAATATAGTAGTTAATTTGGATATATAAAATGGATTAATATCAAAGTAATTCAAAATATATAAAAAACATTTGCCTATTAATTCTAAACATTTTCATTTCTTTCCTGCTATAAATTATCTACAGTAATGTTTTATGTTGTTTATGTTTCAGACCATATAAATTAAAAATTTTTTCATGCAGGTTAACTTTTTTCCTATGAATTCTAAAATTTATTTAATTAAAATTGTTAAGAAATAATTGGACAGTAAAAATTTTATGCTAAAAGCTGCATCTACAAGGATATTATGTACAGTACTTGTACTGTACAGTACATAATATACATGTATCTATGTTGCTCTTTTATTTAAATGAGCAACATAGATGATCGAATGGCTAATGCAGTTAAAAAGCAACAGCCTACTGTTTTAGAAACCTGGAATCAAATCTGTGTAAAATCTGGAATCAAATCAGTCTTTCCCAGATATAGCATCCAATCCCTAACAACCTGATCATCCTACTTAGTGTGGGCCTGAACCACAATAGGTAAGAAAAAAAATGCCCTCTTAGTAGTATCCACAGAATGAAAAAAAATAAAAATAAGCAATACAGTATATATATCTCTTCAAAGTGAAAACTATGAATAAAAGTTTTAATATATTGATATTTTCTTTAAATATAAACAATCTATTTAACATTACACTATTATATTTAATTCAATTTAATTCATTTTAATTTCACTTTATTAATTTTTTTTGTATAATTATAACTTTCCTTATAATGATTGTAATATATTCTGAAATCATGTCTTCCTTTGTTTGAATAATTTGTTATCACTACTAGGTGCTTTTACAGATACTTGGCAATTCTGTCATCAACTTTGATTTGGGAATTTTTTTATTTATAACATGTCTCGGAAAATAAAAAAATTCCTGAATAAAAGTTAATGACCGCATTGCCAAGTGTCTGTATAAGCACCTAGTAGTGATAACAAATTATTTCCTGATAATTTTAAATTTATAAAAGTTTGAACATAGATATGTTTTCTTTTTGTGAATGTATTGATTCTAATTTCTAACACACTTGACAATTTTCACAGCTGATGATGTTCTTATAAAAGAATGAAAACATTTCGAAATAAAAATTTAATTTGGTTTCCTGAATTAAACAATTTTTCTCATCGTTTTAAATATGGCACCAAGTTCAAACGTTATTTTTGTTCATTGTTTTATTTACATTGATAATGATATTGAAAATACTCACAGTGTCCCATATAAGAATAAATACATCTGTAGTAAAGCTATTGTTTAAATGTAAGGATGCATACAAGTTCAAAAAATCACAAAAATGATGATACATATTCACAGCTATAAAAAAAATAGACACAATTTTAATTTATAATTATATTAACATCAATTCAGATTTCATAATAATATATATATGATTTTTAATTAAAATTTACAATGGAATACATTTTAAAATATCCAAGCATCACTTTAAATATTATAAAATCTATAATGCTGCAATCGCTTCAAAATTTACAATGTAATTAATTAGATTTAGCTTTAAATAGATATAAAATTCATTACAAAATAAAACTTGTTAGAGATTTATAAATTTATTAGATCCTTTAAATTAACTTACGTGCATCAAGCTTCATTATAAATGTTGGTTTCGTAAACACGGTATCACATTTCTTATCTTGAATTGGACGATATGGAAGTTCTGTAAAATGCTCAAGTTCAGCAAACCTATAATACATTTAGAATATTTAGATTTAATCAAGATTTATTTCATTTTTTAATAATTAATATTTCAAAGTAAGTTTTAATTGAAATGGAGATAAAAAAAAATTCATATTTACAAAATAGTATTACAGTGGTACCTCGGTATATGTCTGCTTTAGAATACATCCAATTCAGAATACATCCTGTTTGGACGAAACAAATTTTGCTCAGTACACGACTTTTCTTCGGTATACGACTTAATTCTACGCGCCATCTATGAACAAGTAGCACTATCGGTATACTAGACCAGACTAGACGTTCGCAGTGCAACGGTTTATAACTTTGTTAAATTTCTTCTGATTTTAATTTGTAAGTAAAATTTTATTATTTAAATTAATCATGAATTGCAAGAAGGCAAGTGAAAAGCAACAGAAAACTAAAAGAATGACTAGAATCACAATGAAACTGATAAAAGAGATTGCTGAGAAATATGAAGATGGCACGCATGTTCGAGATTTTAACTGTTGCATACCGTATTCCGAGAACGACAATATCGACAATCGTGAAAAATAAATACATTATTAAATCTGCTAACGCTAACGTTGCGAAAAGAGTTAAATCAATTTCTAAACAGAGACTGAAGACATTAGATCATGTTGAGAAATTGCTTTTGCTTTGGATAACTGAAAAACTGAAAATGTGCTGGAGACAGCATATGGAAGCAATTATTTGCGAGAAAGCTAAAAAGATACATGCTGATCTCATGAAAAATCAAGCAGGAACTAGCCAGGAAAGTGACATGTTTAAAGCCAGCCATTTTTTTTTTTTACATGAGAACGGATTAATCATTTTTACATTACTTCTTATGGGAAAGGTTGGTTTGGTATACATCCTATTCGGTATAAGTCCAAACATCAGGAACGGATTAAGGTCGTATACCGAGGTTCCACTGTATTTGAAAGTCTTATTATTTTGAAAATCCTATAAATATATTAAAAAATAAAGAGATAATGTTACAAGTTTACTATAAAGGTCCATCCATTAATTACATACAAAGATTTTGAGCTACCTTTGATCCCTCTCACTGTTGTGTACAATGATGTATTTTTGGCAAACCCTTTAATTACATGAACAATATTAGTGGACTCTCCTGATATTGAAGAAAGGACTTTAAAAGTTCTGCAAATATTTCTAACAGTTCATAAACTATTAAAAAATTCAAGTAGAAAATCTCAAAACCCTTTCTCCCTATCATGTACAATGATGTACTTTTCATGACACCTCTCCCCCAAACTGTACATACAAGTAATTAATGAGTAGCCCCTAATCTACAGAATAAAAACTGTCAATAAGCTATCTTCAATAAACAAAAATTTTATATTCACAAGCATATGTCTCAGGTCTTTTATGCATTTCAACCAAACCAAATTAATTAAAGACAAAAATATTTCTGCCTTAATAACTCTTATTGATTTGAAAAGAAAATTAGTTAAAGTTTCAATCCTTGTTTACAAGATAATGGATCAAATTGCTTTTTAAGAAATCACTATTGGAATTTTAAGAATGAACAAATTTCAATAATGATTTTAGAAAATTAAGTTTCTTTTATAATATAAATTATTTTGCTTAAAAATACTTAGTTTCCCATATAAGTATAAACACATCTGTAATAAAGTTATTGTTTAGATGTAAAGATACACACAAGTTCAAAAACTCATTAGCATCAAGTTTAACATTTTATTGCAATATAGATTCAACAAATGTGTTAGCACAAACTTGGACAGAACAGAGAATGATGTACTGTTCAAGGATGTTAAAGACCATGATTGCAATGAAATAAGAAATGGGAATGATGGTAATGAAAGTTCTGATAAAGATGAAAGTGATGAAATATTGCTTAAATGACTTGGGCCAATACAGTAGGTAGTGCTGTAAGGAACTGAGTCCGAGCATTATTTTTATTTAATTTTTACTTTGCTTTTTTCTATTTTTGTTTGGGGTTTATGTTTTTGTTAGGATGAAGGTTCCCTCACCACTCACCTTAGTAACTAAAACGAAACTAAGAGAGACGACTGAATGAAAAACCAACTCACCGATGAGACAAAGCACCATAGGAAAATTAATGTGCACTTGCACTCCCTGGCAAAAGTTTTGAAAAGAAGTTCCACAGTAAGAAAGAGGGGGGACACCCCACAAGTACTAAAATAGGGAACTTGCTAAACCTTATTAAATAAAACATCTCAAAAAATGTAAGAAAGAATAATGTAAAAGGTTAGTGAGAAATGTCGGAAACTAGGCTGCCAGGAAAAGACATGAGAATTAAATGTTAGATGTAAGTATGTAAATGAGGAGAGTGATTCCAGTCAGAATTGTGACATCACCTCAGAGTATAAAGCCACTACGCTGAGAGAAGACAATCGGGGTGAGCTCCAGACAGCAAGCGAGTGAAGTGCAGTCCAGAAAGCGATCGAGGCGATTTCCAGAGTGATAGAAGTTATTTCCAGAGATTTTGAAAGCGAGTCTTGAGGATAGAGAAAGGAAGCTGGAGAAAGGATAATAGGTTCCTAGTATTGAGGTGACAAATAGGATCTTAGTTTTGTAAGAATTGTTGTACATAGTTTAAGGAATTGAGATTGTTGAGTTTCAAAGGGGAATAGTTCTAAGTTAGTAAATAGATTGCATTATTTTGCCGATTGTTCGAATTGTTGATTTTTCATTGAATAAATTGTTTTTGTTTGTTACTAATTTTGTAAATAGTATTTAATTGAGTTCATATTAAATATTTGACTTTTTACTGGCCTTGTATATAGTTATTTCGGTGCACACGTAAGTCCAGACCTGGCACACTAACCACAAACCCGCATAAAGTACCTGTTAGGTTAATGGATGACATACAGGCACACAGTCCTGTGTCATTTAACAATCATTGCAAACTAATTAGTACTTTACAGTATTAACAGTAATGTAATTAACGTAACTGAATCTTTAGTACAGTAGAAGATCCATATTCTTAGAAGAATATTTATTTGTCCATTTTGCACATTTGCAACAAATTTTTCATATTAACAAAATTAAAATTCACATATTCATAAAACAACAGATAATGAGCAATTATTTATTGTGACATCATCACAATGCCAGGCTACAATTTTTAATCATTCTTTTAATTTATTTGATTTAAAATATATGTTCTCCACCTCAAATTGGTAGTGGCTTATTCCTGTACATCATACTCTTCCTTTAACGATAGAGTTGTGCTGGTCATCTATCTAACACCTTTCAGGAAAAAATTTTTGAACTGAAATAATGTGACTTCTTATTTGCATTGGGCATTCATATATAGTTAATCAGGACGTTTTGCCAGTATGCTTTCCATATCTGGTCTCAACTTTCATCTATGTAACTCCGTTGTTGAGATAATAGAAGGACAGACAGACAAACAACAGCAAAAATTTATAGTTCTACACTTTTTTCAAATTGCAGCCCAAAGAGAAAATTAAATAATTTTTAATTCTTTTACCTTATTTGTAATACAACTCTAGATCCGATGTGGCCCAAGGATTACATGGCCCTCAATCTTCTAATTTGTGGCCCCAGCATTGTCAATATAATTTCATTTTCCTGAGTTCTGCCTCATGCCATTATGCAACCTTAATTAAGCTGATTCACGATGAAGAACATTTAAACTAAATTTAATCAGTAAAAAGATGAGAATAAATTACATATTTCTAATTTGACAAATATTTTAGTAGCTAGTGTAATGGAGATTATCAAATATATTGATAGTCAGGAGGCTTAAAAACTTGTAACACTGTATGAAAAAATGCATGCAGCTTGTTGGAAGTCTACAAAGTTCATTTGCAGCCTGCATTCAGAAAAGGTTGTGCTCTGGATCAACAATGTTTAAATTCATATCATACTTCTAAAGGAAGTATTGAAAATTTTAGAAAAAATGTTCTGCAAAACAAAGATTTTAGGATAAAAATCTAAAACAGGGGTGTCCAACCTTTTTGTTTCTCTGGGCCACATTGGATGAAGTCTTGGAGTTTTGGGCCACAAGTATATATTATATAGGCCTATACTTGTGGCCCAATATACAAGTATATTTCAGGATTAACATGTTTGGATTATAATAATAAGTATTAAAACTTTATCATGAATAAGAATATTTAAAAAAATTACTTATACAGACATTTTCAATTTTTACTTAGAAATAGATAAATTCATTTATTAAAAAAAAGACAAGCGAAAATTTATTTAAAAACACAAATATTTGTTATATTTGGGTCACTAATTAATAAAAACCCTCATTTTACACCATTTTAAAGTACAGTTGTTTTAGTTTTTTAAACTGACGGTACTGAGAGACATCTGTAGAGCAATAACAGCCGGACTGTCGCCATATCTGGGATAGTGACTAAAGAAGACGTAAGAAAGGGATTCCGCGAAGGAAAAAAATAGTACCTAAATTCGCCGGTAGGGGTGGATTTGGCGCTGTCGTAGCGAAACAGCTAAGAATTTGCATAAAACCCAGCTGCAATTAACAAACACACAAATGAATAATCGGACAGAGGTTTCAGTGCAATAATGAAAGTTTAATTAATCGTCAAATAATCTTCTCCTCCTTCAATGTGACCACCATCCTGCTGGACATCACATTGCATCATGAACACCGTGTTCTCTACAGCCGAACGTAACATGTCTGCAGGAATGTTCATCATAGTTCGAGAAATGTTGTTCTTCAAGGTCATCAGGTTGGGGACACCACCAAGATAGACCTTGGACTTTAAGTAACTCCACAGGAAAAAGTCACATGGGGTTAGATCGGGGGTTAGAACCTTCAACGAGTGCAATCGCAACATCACTGTCTGTGCAGACACGGGTTTTTGCCCTCTACCAGGCTGAACTGCTAAGGATCCTGTCTCTTCAAATTTCTTTATCAAGACTTTCTCTGCATTAATTCATAGAGGACCTCTGTGCCAGTTGTTACGGGTTCTAAACTCACGAAGAGCGCCCGGTGCGCTCGATTAGTTAAGATAATAAAGATTCACAAGCAACGCACGCTGAGGTAAGGAAAGATTCATGTTGAACTCTGCTGAAGTCCGGAATGCACTTCGGACTTTTGTGCTTGCCTATTAAGCTCAAATTAGGTGGTACTGCTGTCGACCACGTCATTGTGAATTCGGATTTTGAGGTGTTACCAGCGCGTTAAGCAAATTCTTAGCTGTTTTGCTACAACAGCGCCAAATCCACCCCTACCGGCGAATGATGGGAAAGAGATTTCTTTTTGAAATCTCTTTCCCATGTTGTCCTTAGTCACTCTCTCAAATTTGGCAGCAGTCCGGCTGTTAGATTGCTCTACAGATGTCTCTGAGTATCATCAGTTTAAAAAAAAACATCCTGTATTTATGAATAATATAATAATATGTAAAAAGTAGCTAAAGAGCCAAATGATAGTTTTTCTGTCAAACAAAAGAAAACGTAGCCACATTTGGCGCAATATAGCCAAATGTTGCAACGTTGGAAGGAATACTAAATAATGCTGGAGTTGGGACTCAAGGATTATAGACCCAAATGCGGGACAAAGGACAAAAGATAAATAAATGAGGAAGGTTGGAAAATTAAAGGTCAATATTTACATAACAGAAGGTTTATTTAACCTTTCTCACTACTTTTCATCTTTCGGATTTTCTCTTCTTTCCCCGAATTTGGGACTATAATCTTTGAGTCACAATTCCAGCTTTATTTAGTATTTCTTCCTCATTCACACATTTCCAAGTATTTGAAAATATTTCCTTTCTACTGAAAAATAGAATATGTATAAAGTTTGTGAAACTTCTTTTTTGAGTTTATGCCGTTGAAATAAATAAATAAAAAATGAATAAATAAAATTTTTTGGTTTTGTTTACATGTTTATTGGGCCGCATTGGAACTTGCCTTGGGCCGCATGCGGCCCGCGGGCTGGACACCCCTGATCTAAAACTTAAAAGAAGAGTTAAATAACAAAATACAAGTCACATTACCAAGAACTGTTGTAAGGCTTCCAAAGAATGGCAAATCAAACAAAAATAAGATGTTATTTTGAGAATAAACAAATAAATTTCTTTGTATGAAAATGTGTTTTTTATTTTCTAATTATAAGTATTTTTATCTCCCAATCTTATCTTTCCAATATATTCCTTTTTCTACATGTATGGTTTCAATGATTTTTGCATATGCAGCAATTTTGTAGAATGTAACCCTCATAAATAGGGAGCTTCTGTTGTATATGTAAAAAATATATTTTAATTATAATTAAAACCATTTATATATATATATATATATATGTACACAACACACACATACAAGGTGTGTTCAAAAAGTATTGGACCTTTGATCGGCAAAAAAAAATTTATTGACTTTGAGGTACAAAACCCTAATCCCCTTCAAAGTAGTCTCCTTGGTAATGTATACACTTCTCCCAGCGTTCCTGCCATTGCTGGAAACACTGCTGGAATGCATCTTTTGGAATGGCCATCAGCCGGTCCGTCGGATTCCGCACGATGTCTTCTCTCGACTAAATTCGGGTTCCTTTTAGCGGCATTTTCAGCTTGGGAAATAGCCAAAGGTCACACGGAGCCATGTGGGGAGAGTACGGAGCGTGACGAACCACAGGAGTATTGTGTTTGGCGACGAAAGCCCGAATCAGATGCGCAGAATGGGCGGATGCGTTATCACGATGGAGCTGCCAAGTTTTGATCGACCACAGATCCGGTCGTTTGCGTCGCACTGTATCGGAAAGACGACGAAGGACCTCCTGGTAGTACTCCTTTGCGATGGTTTGGCCTTGTGGTGCGTACTCACGACACACCACCCCACGAGAGTCGAAAAAACTGTCAACATGACCTTTGATATTGCTGCGGACCTGCCGCGCTTTTTTTGGCCTCGAGGATCGTCCCCGAAAGCCTGCTGAATCTTGCGAATGGTTTACGCTTGGGTATCGCCAAGGTTTTTGGCAAAATTTGATGTAATATCGCTGCTCACGTTGTTCAGTCATTTTCCAGCTTAGTGGAATCCGACGAGAGCGCACTACATGACCTCACTCATAGGCCGATTGCCAACTACTGACGTTTCCTGCAGGTGGGAAAAAATTCAGGGCTGTGCATGACTCCACAACTCCACCGAAGGAGGCCTCTCGCGCATCATTGGTTTATGCGGGGAAAAAAAGGTCCGATACTTTTTGAACAGACCTTGTACAAATGTAGTTATATAATATAATCATTATTAAATGATTGATTTATAATTTACCATGATTGAAGTGGACTCTTATGCTCTCCTTCTTTTTTTAATTGCATTTTATTTAATTTACAATGGCCTCCTACTTCGCCTTTCTGTACCACATCATCTCGATATCTAATAAATAATAATGTTTTATTTTCCTATTTTAAATTTAAAAAATTAATAAAATTTAATATAAAAGTTTCTAAAATTAAAATCAAAATCTTTATTTTATAATTTAAGAATTTCATTAAACAATTTCACAGATAAAATTCTAACTATTTATATAATATTAGATTTTATTATTTAATTAAATTTACAATAATTGTAATACAAAAAAATAATCATTATCAAAAGATTATTATTGTAAAATTTAAAGAGTTTTCTGTACAACAAATATAATTTTTGGTCATATAATATATGACCAAAAATTACCATATCATAATTACTGTTTGAAGCAATGAAAAATAATTTAATTTTACTAAAGAATACAACTTTACAATAATTTTGAATACAAAATAATTGATGATTTTACACCAGAGCTGACACTGACAAACATTTGAATAATTTGCAAATTGCTAAAAAATTTATAGAAAATTTCAGCTGCAAAATAAACTGTAGAGTCTATTGCCATTTTGTTATTAAATGCTGATATTCAATATTAATTTTTAAACTTTATGATTTAAGAATTACTTGCAAAACGTTTATTAGTCTATCCCCACATGAATAATTAGATCAATAGTTTGTTACAGAGTTTTAAAATATTTATATTTTTCAAATTCTGTTGAACCTAATCAGTAACTTGCTGAAAAATACAAAAAACAATTCATGTGCTATCAGTTATATCAAAAAAAAAACTTATTTATTTGCAATGTTAAGTTATTTGAAAACTTATAATCATGCATTATTTTCAAATTTTATATTATAAATGTATATGATTATATAAAACATAAAGCAGAATTTTAAATAGTCAGTGTGAAATACGAAACATTTAAACATTATTTTACCTTCTTAAGTGTATTATTATTTGAATTTCTAATATTTTAAACTTCACATCATGTTTTCGAAACTCATTTTCAAGTGTTCAGTAATTTTTCTTGATAATTAGCTTGTAAAATTATAAAATGTAAAATACTAAAATGTTAATAATTATAAATTTAAAAACAATTTTATTATTTTACTCTTTTAATCACCTAATCCATGTATTAATTTTACATAGGTAATAATGTATCTTAATTTATTGGATATAAGAGTAAGAATTTTAATAATTAACCCAGAACAAATGCTTACTGACCTTATTGGTTCTGGAAGTTTTTCAAGTGATTTGAAATGAAAAATTATATTCCTTGCCCTACAAAATCTAGTATATTTGCTGCATTCAAGTAAACTATCATCCTGTAAATAAACTTGCATTAAATTATTTTTGACGAAATAAGATTTATATTAAACAAGTTTAATGAAGAAAATTATTGGCTTTCATTTATCAAAAACAAATTTAGTTTAATTACATGTTCCTAATATTAAATTAAAAATCATTATAGTCATAATTACAACTCAATATAGGCTTATTTTTATTAAATATATATATAAAACAATTAAAGGAATTTTATAATAAAATTAAAATTTATATTTACAGGATGTTCTGGTAAACATAATGTGATTAACTCATTCCTTCTTTCTTTAATGTAACCAAAATCTCCTTGAGTATAAAAAGTATGGATCTGATCTTTTTTTGACGTAACCCTATATTAATGAAAAAGTAATAAAATTTACATCACAATAGTTTTAAAAATAAACACACTAAAAGTTTTCAAAATATCAAAACTTGATTAAAAAATTTATGCCTTGTTAATATATTTTGTTAAAGAATATATTATATATAAATTTGAAATACATGAAAATATAAGATGAGGGAATTTATCATGATATTCCTATTTTAAATGAACAACTGAATATATGTGCTAAACCAGAATTTTCAATAACTGGTTTATTTACAATTCATTTTTGTAAAATTATGTTTAATTTTATGCTGTTTTATTAAACATAAAATTAATAAAAATTCAAATGTAAGGTTAATTAGTACTTATAAATAATCTATATAGTACAAATTTTATTGTTGAAAAATGGAAAAATGTTGTGTACTAGTATAAAGATGAAGCTAAATAAATAGAACTATGTCCCTTCCTAACTACTGAGCCGTGAAGGTCAACATACTAACAAGAAAGACTGGATTTTCAACACAAATCATATTGTCTCATCCCTATAAATAAACAAATTATTCTACCAAAATTTACAAGGCATAATTCTACTTACGTACTCAAAAAGTCTTTAATGTAAAATATTAGTAGTGTAAAATTAAATTCCATTTGTCCATTATTCAAATAATTAATTTCAAATTTACTTTCGTATAAAGTTAAATTTATATTTTATTACTATAAAACAGTAATAATCAGACAATTATGAATACATTTCTAAGAAACCGTGGCATGAAAATTTTACACAATAAAATACTAATTTTTAAACTCATAATAAGAAATTTATACAAATGACTTATATAATACTAATTATCAAATAAGATATGGTTAGAATGTAATGTTAATTTTCTTAAATGATATATAATTTTCTTTCAATTATAATAAAATATATTTAATTAAAAATAAACTATCCTAATATTTTATGCTTTATTATTGTAATTATATTAAAATATATTATAATGTTAACATTAAAATAAAGTGTATTTTAAGTATATATGAAGAAATTTGCAATAAAAAATTTAGTTTTTGTTTTCAAAAGTGGAATTTTTTCAATTTTAAATACAATATTATTAGAATTTTTTGTATATTTGCTATATTAATAACTGTCATTGCAATTATATTTTATTAAATTTTATATATAGTTAAATTTGCCTACTTAGACACCTTCTGAATTGTAATTATCAATGGATTTATTTAAATTTATATATTCTAAATTTTAATTATGTTATTAGAATATAAAGTTAATTAAAGTATAATTATTTCTTTTTAATGACTCTGAATAGAGAACAATAATTGCATTTATAAAGCTTTCTGAATAAGAACAGTAGAACCTCCATTATCCGGATTTTCGATTATCCGGATTGTTCAAAATAAACAAAAATTTTACGAATTTGCTGATTTGCACTTGGCGAATTACGACACTGTTTATGTACGTGATGGAATGCATAACTTTTTTTGTTTCAACAACGTCTCACCCAGCACAGTGGTCGTAAACTCTTAAATATATTTTACGTAGTAATAAAAATATAACTTGACATACGTATTTATAAATAATTTATATTCAAATTACATCATTTCTATGACCAAGGGCGGCGTAAGGCATGGACGACGTGGGCCACCGCCTATGCCTCGCGGTCCGAAGGGCCTCGCGCCTCGAAGGTTTATGCATTACTTAAAAGCCGCGAACGCGACGAAAAAATTTTACTCGTCATAAAACGATAAATAGTTTGTCAAATTTTTATTCATAAAAATGCAGTTTCAACTGCTTTTTATTTTATAAAATCCGTCTTCTTGCGCCACCAGAGGGCCTTTTAAACAATAGGTAGTCTGTTAGCGTTGGTCAGTAGTAGTCCAAATTCAATACGAACGTTTGTTTCTTGAAAATTTGATCACGATTTAAATACAGTATTTACTTTTAATATTACCGATATGTCATCAAAAAGAAAACGTGTTGTATTATCATTAAAAGACAAATTAAAGTATCTGTTTCGATTATCCGGATTTTTCCTTATCCGGACTACCTTCATCCCCAATTAGTCCGGATAATAGAGGTTCTACTGTATTACATAAAGTTTTTCCTTACATTACATAATTACTTCATTATTTCACTAAAATTATTTCTGTATATCATGCATACTACTTCATATTGATTACAAAATATTGATCTCTTTGAAAAAGTTTATACTAAAAATGTAAAATTCATTCTTACTGATATCATTTTTGAAAATAAAAACAACCTCAATGTCTAAAGCAATCCCTTTAAACAGTACCACAAAAATCAAATTTACATCTTTAATAATAATTAAATTACTTTATTGTCATGAGAAAAAACATAATATATGGAAGAAAGTTCAGTGATGACAATAATTTAATGTTAACACACTAGCATCAACTCTAAAGTCATATATACGATACTATTTACATCTGAATATATATGCTATATATCACAAGACAAATATTAATTTTCAAATTTATAAATCTAAAAATGATAGGATTTTTATTAATCAAATATTTATGAAATTTTCTTCATGTCAAATTGTACAGTACAATAAAATAATTTAATATTTTTATTGTATTGTCAGATATTTTTTTAACTCTTCCATTCTGTAAGCACTAAAATGGCATTTTTTTTTTAGCAAGCCCATTAATTAAGGTTCAACCAGGCCAACAATAGAGTGGCTGGATGGTGAGGCAAAACATATCCAAACAGAACATCTCATGAAAACTTTCTCAGCTATTTTGATCTGTCCAGATTCAAATCATCCAAAGCTGTAGGATGCTACCTTAACCACTCAATCATCAGGCCATTGTATTGCTAGACTATTATTACCATATCTACTAGCATATAGGACAAGGTGCGACTTTAAAGATCAAAATAAAAAAAATTAGATTTACTAATACAGTTCTAATTTTATTTTGTTTAATCACAAGTAAAATATCAAATAAATGTAAATGCACGCATTGTCCCACAAAAATTACTGGCATTTTAAACTTTAAAGAAAAATCTTGTAAAGTTGACAACATAATTTGTTCACGTAAAGCTGGACAATCAGGAACTTTTTTTGCCAATTCTTAACAAGTCGAATCCACTCTCCATCAATTACACTTATGAGTTTCTTTGAATTCTGATTTCCAAATAATCATCCGTTTTCACGTGAGAATGGATTAAAACTTATATCATGCTCCCGTGAGATTTTAGAATTTCAATTTGGAATTTGATTCAAAAGTTTTGCTATTCCTATTGCTATCCATCTTTACTCCTAACAATATACAAGAATGGTTCAAACAACCCAGATAAAATACTTATGTTTTTAAATACAAGAGAATAAGCATCTGGTAAAAAATGCAAATACACAGTTCACAAAAATTATTTGCAAAGACATAAAGAATCTTTTGCTCACGCATATAGGACAACCTAGAAATTTGAAGCTGTGATAAATGAATAAAAACCTTGTCTTACATGCAAGTAAATACGGTAATTTCTTATTTTGATTATAATTTTTCTTTATATTAAAGTATTGTTTTTATGATACACGACACTTGATATTTTTATCAAGTTAACAGTACATAAATATTTTAATGTCTCAACTTAGTTTTTAAATTAAAATGAACAGTTTTAAAAGCTGTGTTACTTAAATATTTTAATATTAATAATTTATTTTGTTTTTAGAAATAAATCAAGAACTTTAAAAGCATTTAATTCTTTAAACATTAGACATTCATACGCATGAAAATACAATTACTATAATTTGATCATCATCAAATAATAAAACATATTTATAATTTTATATATAATGTTTCTGAATTTAGTTTTATTCCAAAAATGTAGTTATCTTTATCCACTTTCAATGATTAAAATTATTCTAAAAGATTAGTTACTTTTAACCCTTAAAAAGTTTATATATAACATGATATTGACAGTAATTTCATGTGTTATGTTTTTAAATTTGTATAAAGTAATCGGTAACCAAATAATCTTTATCAACTGCAAAAAAATGGAATATTTCCTATTTTATATTTTAATTTTACTTACCATCCTTTTGCTTCACCATCACAAATAGGATCAGAATATCTGTAACTTAGGGAACAGTTCTTTTCATATCCCCAACAGTTTTTCTTGTTTAAGTATTTCTGGAATTAATTATTAATTTTGGAAAAAATTAATTATAATTTTGTATATATATATAGGATGTCTCATAAGTCTGGAATCACAGGAGTTATGTCAATCTTTGTTTTTTATTTTACAGATAAAGTACAACACCAAGTATGCAGGAACAAATTCAAGTTATTTTGACGGAAGAAACCCACAGTTAGCATAAAGTTGCAAAGAGTTTAACAGGATACATTTAGATTTGTACCAATCACATATATCAATCCAGAAGCCTTAAACTGGGAGTCACAAACCGGCAACCTGCCAGCCTGATACATCCCGTTAAGGCTTTGTATCCGGCCTGCAGCCTGGATGATTTATTTTCTAAAACTAACTGTTTCTAACATCTTGTGGGAATTAAAACTTCTAACCGTTTACACAAGTCGTAAAGGCCCTGCAACAAAAAAGCCTTTTTTTTTAGTTTATGGTCTGTTTTGGTTTATCGAATAATGACGAATACAGTCCACATCCGACATACATCTATTTGATTGTCCCTTTGCAACATTTCAGTATTAGATCTCTACATTAGACTCTGGCAACTTCTGGCCGACTGTAGGTCTCCCCATCTTATTCCGCCACACGCTTTAGCCCTAGAAGAATAAACAAATATCAACATAATTCCTAAGGCTTATGAAACATTCATATATAAATTAAGTAACCATATAATGAAAAGTTAAACAGAAGTTACTTTCAGTTCATTCATTGATACAGACAAAGTACTTAAAAATAACTTCTACCAAGTTACCTTATAAGGACAATTCCTATTTTTTTCGCAGAGTGAAGCCAAATTCAAATTATTATTAAAGAAATAAGGCATGTGCTCTGGAGGCAAATTGATATCATCCCAAATACTCTTTAAACTTGCAAAATGGATAAAAGAAAGAAACAGCAAATATAATAACCTAAAATAAGGGGAAAAAACAAAGTTATAATGAATAAAATAATATAAGACATTAATAAAATAAATTTTTACATTTTATGGAAATCTTCCCTCGTGCTTATTTTATCATTTCAAAGCATTGTTACCATAAATCACAGTCTTTTTCTATTTTTCGCACCATTAAACGTAACGCCGGTTTTTTGTAATTTTTACAATATTTAATTTAAATTTAGAAAAGTACAATGCTTCATGTTTATTAGAAAATATTTTAAAGTTTTAAATTTTATATACAAAGAAAAGTTTCTTAGGTAAACCTTCACAGATGGCGCCACTAAAAAAAACACGTGTACTTCTATTCAGTTGTTTTATTTGATAATTACGTATACAACGAAATTAATATAAATGTTATTATTATTTTTTTATTATTAAAATTATCGAAGGTGTGATAAAAATAAATTTAAAATATATATATAAATTTTTATTGCTTTATATTCAGGATTCGTTTACAGAATTTTTTTTTCCATAACCAACGTGGGTTTAGCCAGGCCCGTAATGGGGCCTGACATATCAAGGACAGAACATCCATGAAAAATTCCCGTGGAGGTGCTGGCCCGGATTCCGAGTCCTTCAGAGCAATAGGCGACTCCTTAACAGCGCAGTATGGATTTAAAACGTCACAGTACATACGACAAATCGACGTTACTACTTGCTAATGGCTGCGGAAGTGTAACAATAACAATACGCCAATTTAACCAATCTCTAGCCAAGTACAGTGGGGATTGATTTCTTCTGAGTGGGGACCTTTGCTATTAGACGCAATAAAGACAAAATTTTTACCAGTTCAATGAGAGTGACTGAAAAGTTGTAAATTTTGGAAATTTACGTGGACACCTGGTCCTAAAACGAATTAGTTAGAAAGCAAATGACGACAATCCATTAAGTTTAACATATTTAGACTTTTACAGCTATGGTGACAAACGTTTAAAATTTACAACGACCCTGTTGAGTCCTACGAGGTATACTAGTGATGCGACAAGAGTCATTTGACATTTACCGGTATCGGCATCCTCGGGATTTGGCAGCCCGCGTGCATGCACGCATCGCACACCTACCAAAATTGTCTCTGATTCCATTCATTAGCCACTCGTATGGAGCTATTTGACTAAGTGGATTGTTTTAAGATTAAAAAGTAAAGGATATTTTATGTTATTTTTATGCACGTTTCTTTACAAAGCTATATTTAATTATAATTTTTTTTAATAGTATATTCATACAATTGAAAAATATTTTATACCAAATATGTACCAGTTATGTACCAAATATAAAAAATTACTCGGTGAAATAAAATGTGTGGTGAATACACCGGTACATACAAACTTTAATTAAAAGTAA